GGGAGGGAGGATGGGGTGGGAAGGAATGTACCCTGCACGTTTCGTCTTTCGACTTTCGCCCATAAAATATGTCAGAGACGTTTATTGACAAGGAAGATCTCTGCGCCCGCCGTCTTTACTTTTCGTTTTCTTCTGTGTCTGAAACTCCATGTTCCCAGGTGTTGAGTAGTCCTAGATCTATAACCCCAGCAAATATAGCAGCATCAGCAACAACAGCTACAGTAGTACTGTAATAATTATAACGTGGTGAATTTGTATAGCGCCTTGGATGCTCTAAGTCTAAGTGAGTTAAGGGGGGGGGGGGGGGGGGGGTACACCTGAAGTCTATCTCAATTATTAGAGGACCAAATTTTCCCATATTATTTCACACCTATAACTATTATAACAAGCATAGTATGGAGTCTTAAAATCTGCAATCAAATTTGAGAAAAAAGTTTCGTTTACATGGATACGACGGCCCTATTGGATTTTTTTGACATGTCTTACTTAATGATTACCGCACTTACTGCTTATGGAAATTAATTGATTTTTTCCATACATTTTAACAAACATTAGATTAAACAATTTGTTTGTTGTTTTTTTCCTTAACGAATTAGAAAACACTATCTGAGCACCCGGCTTTGCTCGGGGTCGACGCCTTGGCGTCACTGCTCCTACTGGGCATTTTACATCTACATGTACCTTGCTGTCTAGCATTTCACAGTCACACCTGGCTTCTAGATCTATATAGCTTTAGTTAAGGTCTGCCTTGATTAACTCCTTTCTTGATCTACATTGCTTTAGTGTATTGCTGCCTAACCCTTCTCAATCACAAAATACGGATTTCGCCTTACACCATCACAAAAAGCACTAAGACTAAGAAAATAATAATCCACGAAAGGGCTGCTACACTGTAAAAGGAACACACCGACGACTTCAAAATCACAGAGGCAGTGTCTATAGCTTGTTTGCTTTCCTCTGAGAGCGTTAAAAAAATTCTAGCTCATTGATAAATTAACCTAGGCCCACGAAACTTTTCATGACACTTCTACAGACTATTCGAAATGTGAGCGTGCAAATTCATATGCACATTTCAGATTATG